GATCCTTATCTAACACAATAAAAAATTAATTCTAAGTGGATCAAATAACTAAGTGTACAACCTAAATACCTAAAAGTATAACCAGAAGTATAAAATTCGTAGAAGAAAATATTGGGCAAACGATCCATAATGGTGGATTAGTCAGTGAATTTTTGGATATGACACCAAAGGTGCAGGTAAAAGAAGAAAATATAAACAAATTGGACTTTTTCTTTCACTGCCTGTGCTTTTGGGGTTTTTTGAGAACTTTAGTCTTTGCCCAGACCTACTTCCTGAAGTGCTTCCCTATGTTTTCTTGTAGGAGTTCTATAGTTTCATGTCTTATATTTACATCTTTAATACATTTTGAGTTGATTTTGGTATACAGTGAGAGGTGAAGGTCTAGTTTCATTCTTCTGCATATGGATGTCCAATTTTCCCAGAACCATTTATTGAAGAGGCAGTCTTTTTCCCATTACGTGTTCCTGGTGCCTTCATTGAAGATCAGTTGATTGTAAGTATGGGGGTGATCTGGGTTCTCTATTCTGTTTCATTGGTCTGAGTACCTGTTTCTATGACAGAATCATGCTAATTTGGTTACTATAATTTTGTAATATAATTTGACATCAGGTAGTGGAACACCTCTGGCTTTATTTATTTTTGCTGCTCAGGATTACTTTGGTTATTTGTGGTCTTTTGTTGCTCCACATGAATGTTAGGATTTTTATTTTTCTTTCAGCAGTGATCTGTAGTTCTCGTTGTTGAGATCTTTCACCTCCCTGCTTAAAATGATTCCTAGGTATTTTATTTTATTTTTATTACTATTGCTGTTGTCATTTTTATTATTATTGTTATTACTATGACTACGACTACTATTATTATTATTGTTATTATTGGATGACTATTGTAAATAGGCTTGCTTTCTTAATTTCATTTTCTGCTAGTTCATTTTTGGAATACAAAAATGCTACTAAATTTTGTGTGTTGGTTTTGTATCCTGCAGCTTTACTGAAGTTGTTTATTAGCTCTAAATGTTTATTGGTAGAGTCTTTAGGTTTTTCTCTACATAGGATCATGTCAGCTGCGAACAGGAAGAGTTTGACTTCATCTTTTCCAACATGTGTGCCCTTCATTTCTTTCTCTTACCTGATTGTTCTGGCTAGTACTTCCAATACTATTTCAAATAGGAGTGATGAGAGTGAGCATCCCTGTCTTGTTCCAATTCTTAAGGAAAATGCTTTCAGCATTTCCCCATTCAGAATGATATTTTCAATGTGTTTGTCATATATATATTTTATTGGGTTGAGATATTTTCCTTCTATACCTAATTTGCTGAGAGCCTTTAACTTGAAGAGATGTTAAATTTTGTCAAATGCTTTTTCTGCATCTATTGAAATAATCATTTGGTTTTGTTCTTGAATTTGCTGATGTGGTGTATCACATTTATTGACTTGCATATGTTGAACCATCCTTGCACCCCTGGGATGAATCCCACTTGGTCAGTGTGTAATCTTTTTGATGTGCTGTTGTACTCTGTTTGCTAATATTTTGTTAAGGATTTTTGTGTCTATGTTCATCAAAGATATTGGCAAGTGGTTTTCTTTATTTGTTGTATCTTTGTCAGGTTTTAGCATCAGGGTGTCCTGGCCTCATAGAATGAATTTGGGAGAATGAACTCTGTTTCAAATTTTTGGAATAGTTTGAAGAGAATTGGTATTGATTCCTCTTTGAAGGTTTGGTGGAATTCAGCAGTAAAGCTATCTGATTCTTGGCTTTTCTTTTATGAGAGACTGCTGATTACTCTCAACATCACTCAGCATTAAGGGAATGTAAATTAAAACCACTTTGAGATATTATCTCACTCCAGTTAGGATGGCTAATATCCAAATGACTGAGAATAATAAATACTGGCAAGGATGTCGAGAAAAGGGAACCCTCCTACACTGTTGGTGGGACTGCAAAATGGTGCAGCCTTTATGGAAAGTGTTATTGAGGTTCCTCAAACAATTACAGATAGATCTACCATATGACCCAGCAATCCCACTGCTGGGTATATACCCAAAGAAATGGAAATAAGCATGTTGAAGAGACACTTGTACTCCCTTATTCTTTGAAGCACTGTTTACAATAGCCAAGAGTTGGAACCAGCCTAAATACTCATCATTGGACGAGTGGATAAGGAAATTGTAGTAAATCTACACAATGGAATACTACTCTGCTATAAAAAAGAATGAAATACTACCATTTGCAGCAACATGGATGGACTTAGAGAAAATTATATTAAGTGAAACAAGTCAGGCACAGGAAGAGAAATACTGCATGCTCTCACTAATATGTCAGAGCTAATAAAAAATATATATATATATAAACAAATAAATGAGGGGGGAAATATAGCAATCACAAAAATTCCTTGGACTTGTTAAGGTAAAGGAACAGATATGATGTTGGGGGGGGGACAGGGGGAAGATGGAGGGGAAAAAGGAGGAATTGATAAACGGACATGAAAATCAACTATACTGTATATTGATAAATTAAAAAATAAAAAAAATTATTAAAAAATACTTCTTCAGTCTCATTGCTTGTAATTGGAGTGTTCAGGTTTTCTGTATCTTCTTGGATCAGTCTTGGTAGTATGTATGTGTTTAGAAATTTAACCATTTCCTCCAGGTTTTCATATTTGTTGGCCTATATTTGTTTATAATAGTCTCCAATGATTCTTTGTATTTCTGCAGTATCAGTTGTCATGTTTCCTCTTTCATTTCTGATTTTCGTTATTTAGGTTTTCTCCCTCCTTTTACTAGTTAACCTAGCTAATAGTTTGCCTATTTTATTTACCTTCTCAAAAAAATATTCTTTTGATTCATTGATCTTTTGTATCTTTATTGGGTCTCTATTTCACTTAATTCTGCTCTGACATTAATTATTTCTTTCCATCTCCTAATTTGGGGACTGGATTGTTCGTTTTATTTTAGTTCTTTGAGGTGCAGTATTAGGTTATTTATTTGAAATCTGTCTATTCTTTTGATGTTAACTTTTATCGTAAAAAAATTCTCTCTTAGTACTACTTTTGCTGTATCCCATATGTTTTGTTATGATGTGTCTTTATTTTTTTCATTTCAAGAAATTTTTTGATTTCCTGTTTAATTTGTTCTTGGACCCATAGGTCGTTTTGAAGCATGTTGTTTAATTTCCATGTATTTATATAGTTTCCAGAGCTTTGCTTGTTATTCCTATCTACATTTAATTCACTGAGGTCTGAAAAGATACTTGAAAAGATTTCATTTTTTCAAAATTTGTTGAGATTTGATTTGTGTCCTAACATGTGCTCCATCTTGGAGAATGTCCCATGTGCTAATGAGAAGAATGTATGTTTTGTAGTTGTTGGAAGAAAAGTCCTGTAGATATCTGCCAAGTCTGATTGGTCTAAAGTGTAGTTAAATCCTGTGTTCCTATGTTGATTTGTTGCCTAGTTGATCTGTCCAATGTGAGAGAGGTGTGTTCAGGTCCCCAACTATTATTGTATTATTGTGTTGTATTCCCCCAGCATGGCCAGGAAACAGAGCTGAGATAATGAGGAGACATATTGACCTAGAGACAGATTTTTGTAAAAGGTTTAAATCAAATATTGAAAATATATTTATTTTGTCAAAACTTTTGAAAATTTAAGTCATGTGAACTTGAAAAATTTACTTATTTATTTAATGAGCATGCATTAATTATAAGCTAATTTGGTACCATGAAGGCACACAAACACATATAGACATGAACATGTAGACATAACATGCATTTTACATATGCATATATGCAGACATAAACAACAAGAATAAATAAGGATCTTATAGGTTTTGTTCAAAATGTAAAAAAAAGCTCAGTAGTAAAAAGGACAGTCAGGTTTAAATTGTGGGTTTTTTAAAAAGACTTATTGGTGAGGCCTCACCCTGCTCAGAAAGCAAGATAACAAATTTACATTGTACAGCAAAGTATGCAAGCCTTTTCAAGAAGGTGCAGAGAAAACTTTCTTCCTTTTAAGAAAATAGCATCGGATTCTACCATAGGATTTTGTGAAGAAATACATAGATGAGACTAGAAGAGAATTTAGAAGTCTGTTTAAGATAACCAAGTGGAAGCCAGAAAATTTGAGACCATTGAGTTAAACATGTAGATTTTAGGTTAGTTTTTGTTTCTCAAATGAGATACTAAGCTTAAGGGCTGAGCTATTGAAAGCTATTTGACTGTTGAAGTTTTTTAATTTACCCCAGGTCAATTTGGAGCTTTTTGTCATTATTTTCATTATTAGTGGTCTGATGTGTACCATCCCTGATGAGATGGATTGAGGTGTGATGGCGAGGTGTTGAGATTTTGGGATCAGATTCAATTCCTCCTCTGGTTTGGGGTTCCACATAAGGTTTAACAGCCTTAGCAGGAATCTATAGTGGGCCTGTGGGTGAGAGAACAGATGCATACCCTCTCTCCCATGTTAACAATTCAATAGGTCCCAACAATTGTGGTCCCGTCATCAGGTGGTGGAATAAAACCAAGGGTCTGGGTCTCTTTTTAGGAGGTAGAAGTGTCATTCTGTGGCCATTAATTTTGGGGAGTTACAATTAAAAAAATTTAGTGTAAACAGAGCTTTAAAGACCTGTTCATGAGAGGCCAGCCCTATATTGATATTACCTCTCCTTTGTTTACCTATTTGAGATTTAAGAAGGCCATTGGCTCTTTCAACAATTGCCTGGTCAGTGGAGTTATACGGGATTCCTGTGACATATGTAATGTTCCATTTGTCAAAGAATACTTGAAAGACCTTGAGGTATATGCCAGTCCATTATCTGTTTTAATTTGATTTGGAATCCCCATGGCAGCAAAGGCAGAAAGACAATGTTTTTTAACACATTTAGCAGTTTCTCCTGTTTGGGCAGTGGCATGAATAAGACCAGAGTAAGTATCAACAGTAACACGTAAATATTTAAGATGTCCAAAAGTGGGATAATGAGTGATTTTCATTTGCCAAATTTCATTACCTTCTATTCCTCGAGGACTAACTCCTCCAGGGGAATTAGATTTAGAAAACCTCTGACAATTTGGACAAGCATGAACAATATCTTGAGCTTGCCTGTAAGAGATCTGATGCATGTTAGCCACAGCTTGTGCATCCTGATAAAAAAACTGATAAGAATCAATAGCTTTCTGTAAAACATTATTATATATAACAAAGTGATCAGCTCTTTCTCAATTGGAAATAAGAATAAGAATGCATGTGAGTTACATAGAAAGGATGATGTCTTTTTTGAATAAGTTTTTGTAAATGTCAAAATATTTCAAATAAAAGAAAATCATTTCCCTCATAGATAGATGCATCTTGAATTACCTGTAAGACTCCAACTATGTAGGCAGAGTCAGCTACTAAACTAAGTGGCTGATTGTAAAAATGTTGCAAAGCTGCAATGGCAGCTGCCAACCCAGCCCCCCGATTGGACACATGATGGACAGCACCAAAATGCCTCCAGATTCTCTGCTCCCACCATGCCACAGATCCCCCTCCTCATCTGCCAGAATCGCTGATAAACAGTTAGCACTTGAGGGAGAGGAATAGGAGGTAAACAGGATTTTAATTGTATGGGCAGTATTTGGAGTCCTTGTAAAATTTTATCATGGTGGAATGAGAATTGTATCTTACCAACAAAATCAGCCATATCAATCTGTAAAGACTCTGATTGTTCAAGGGCACTGTAAAAATCAGTTTTAGGAAGACCAGGATTAATAATATCAGGATCATACCAAGTACTTGACAATGGTGTGTTCCCCTAGTGAGTAAATGAATACATTGTTCTAATTTAGTATATAATTTCCTTTTCTGTTGATGGGGTAAGAAAATCCATTCAATGACTCCTATTTGAGGAAGGAATTGGCAAAGCAAACCTGTGGGACTATGTAGGTTGTTTAAAATAATGAAATGAATGACTTGAGATTTAACAATACGTGTTAATTGTCTGGAATGTAAAAAGGATTCAATCTGCTTTAATTCTAATTTTGCTTCTTCAGATAAGTAATGAGGGGAGGACAGATCAGGGTCTCCCTTCAAGGTATTAAACAAATGTTGTAATTGGTAATTTCGAACACCCAAGGAAGGGCAGAGCCAGTTATTGTGGCCAAGTAATTTTTGTAAGTCATTTAGAGTAAAAGGCTCCTGAATATGGAAAGAGGTATTTTGTGGCTGTATACTTCTCTGAGTGATTAAAAAAAACAATGTATTTCCAAGGCTCCTTTTTTTGAATTTTATTTGGAGCTACTTGTAAACCAGCATTATTAACTTGTTTGATTAAATGTAAATAAACTTGTGATAGCAATTCTGGATTGTCATGAGCATTGTCAATATGTCTAGTCATAGCATCTTGAAGACAATTAATAAAATCTATATAAGGCTTAATGGGTCCCTGTCTAGTAATAGCAAAAGATTCAGTGGGAGTATTCCAGGGACTATGTGATAGCTCTAAATTTCCCATTTGTCACTGTTGTTTAACACGTAAAGTAGCTTGATTTAATTTCTCCCCTTTAAGAGGCCACTGTTCCACCCAAACCAGAGGACCAGGGTCCATTGTAATTTGAATGGTAGGAGTGTAGCCATGGCCATCACGATAAATTTTGAAGGAGGTGTCCCACTATAAACATCCCATTGAGCGAGGTGGTCTCGGCTCAATAGAGTTCAAGGTAGATCTGGAACATAATGCATAATGGAGGCAATTTGTCCCTCAGGGCCAGTACAAAATAAGGGATTTTTACTTTGATAAGGAATTTTGAACTTGCCTAATCCAGTAAGTGTAACTGGTGAAGAAATTACTTTCCATAATGGAGTCCAATCCTTTTTAGCAATTATGGTAACATCAGCCCCTGAATCTGTAATTAATTTTTGTTCAACAGATAATGTGAAGAGTGGCTGAGTCTTATCTAATCTTTGTATCCAAAATGCATCAAGGGAAGCAAGAGGTTGAAGTTTAGATTTTGTTTCAGGAATTTTATTCCAAGCCTTTATGGCTGGTCTAGTTGTTTGGTCAAGTAACATGTTGATGCTAATTTGAACCTCATCTTATAAATTTTTGAGTGAAATAGCATGTAAGGCTTCCCGATATTCTTGAAGCCATACAGTATATTGAGCAGGACTTAAAACAGTTTTTACAAGTGTTTTCCAATCCCAAGGGGTCATATTATACCCATTAGCAATTGTTTCTAAGTATTCCTTAGTAAAAATACTATGCAAACCATTTTTTGTTATGCTCCTTTTAAATCTTTCAAACAAGGAGAATGGAAGGTTTTCATGTCTTGACTGAGTCTCAGTTTTTACAGCAGGAAAGATGTGATGAGCATCAGCTCCCATGCTATGTCCTTCTTTAAGACAGGACTCCATCAAGGGAACAAATGAATTGTTTGCCTCCAAAGGTGAAGATGGGGGGAGAGGAGGAGGAGGAGGCGAGGATTGTTTTTCATCCTCTTTAATGGCATAAACACATATGTTCCTTTTATGGTTCTGAATAACTTTTAAAACAATTTGACAAAATTTCCAAACCACTATAAGCAATAATAATTTAGTTGGATGATGGTTAGTTACTTTATAACCTACTGCCATAAGGAGACACGGAAGGACTGAACTATGTTGAATTTCCCTTTTAGAGAGTAAACTACCCATAATCGCAAGAATAGATAATTGAGAGAGTAAGAAAGCAAAAATTCTGGGCAAAGCCTTAGCTAGACACTGCAGCAGGCGTGCAATGGCTTAATCAAAAGCCATCTCTGTGATCCCCTTTACCAGGGTGAGTCCCCCTTACCGGGATTTCCCTCTTGACAGGATGAGTAGACATCCTCTTCCTTTTTTCAGGCATCTTTGAGTGGTGGATGTATTCTTTCTTTTCCTTTCCAAGGCCTGGCAGGTTGGTCTCCGATCCATGGGCCCAGAATTTGTCACATCGGGGTCACCATTTGTTGCTTTGCCTCCCACGGATTTTTCACCCATTTTCCCCTGGGTGACAGAGCTGCCAAAGATTACTCAAAGCCCATCTCTTATGAGCAGTAAGAAGCCCTGAAAAGGGGTTAGTCTCCAAGAACGCTCGAGAGAGGCATTCCTTCCATTTGGGAAACTAACCACGAATTGGGGTTCTCTTCCCACATTTATTCTCCAGACCAGGAAGTTACAGGAAGAGAACATAGGTGGGGTTTTTGGTAAGTACAGTTTAACAAGTTTAACAATAAAAGCTGGTAACATTCAGTAAGGAAACATTCTATAATGCAATTTACAAGAAAAGCTTGATCTTAGCAAACGTTCTCTTCTTACAGCAATTTTCCAGTATCTTTACCTATCAATCAGTAACCTGTCTTTGAGCCAGCAACCTTGCTGTGTTACAATTCTTTATCTTACAACAGAGACTATATAGCCTGGGGAAATTTTCATGTCCTTTGCAAGGTCAATATTTGAAACAGCAAGGCTCTGGAAAACCAGGCCCTGTGAAGTACATTTGTTTTATGCATACTAAACATATCATAATAGTGATCACCTTTTTCCCCTGTGGTTTATAAACTTACCTTAAGATATTTCCCCCCCCAAAAAAAGTTCTAAATGAATCTTGGAGCTATAACATAATTGTTGGAAAATGTGTGTGTGTGTGTGTGTGTGTGTGTGTGTGTTTTAAGGTGACAGCTTTAAGGGAGCAACTTTTCTCTATGTTTGTGTTTTTCATTCATTTATTTAAAAACATATAAGCCCATTCTTAAAACTAAAATAATGCCAGTAACCCTACCACCCAAACAAAATTAATGTTTTTATGTTATGTTTTAGTATATAATAGTCACTTCTCATAATGTACTATTATCCATTTACAAGATGTAATTTCATTTTCAAGTATACATCTCAGCCATCTGAAGCCACAGGCTAAAATAAATAAATAAATAAATAAATAAATAAATAAATAAACAAAATATACACTTCTTTAAGGCTGAAAGATTGTGCATGATTTGCTGCCCTTTTGGATACAATTAGCAAGTGCCAAGTTGCTTAAAGTGATTTTGTAGCTTCTTTCTTTTATTTGAAAGGTTCAGATGTACAGTTTTGAAGTAGAAATGTTTAGACTCTCTTGTTTCCTGTTGTAAGTTCCTGCTTCCGAGGAGTGAAGCTGATTAAGGAGTCTGCAGCTGGTTAAATGAGGATTACTGTATATGACTTCATGTGACTTACCAAAAAGCATGATTGGCTTTCCATTGGGAAACAGCATATGAGTAGCATCTGTCAGGGTAATTATATACAGGAAATTCCTAATACTGTACTGTAAACACAATTGTTAGTAGGCTCCATGCAATAAAAATGTCTGGTACATTCTTGGAAGCTAGGACTTAGCATTACTTTTACAAAAGTTTTTTGAGACATCATTAATTAAGGAATATGAAAATAATTACAATGAACACAAAATCACTAGGTCTGAAACTCTGAAAACTGTGCAACAGTTTGTGAGACAAAAATAACTTTGATTGTATGTTTCTTATGTAAAATGCAAAGGATCACTTCCTTACTTTCTTGAACCACAAGATGCTCCAGGCTCATCTTGTATTTTCTCTGCCACAGCCAAAGAATAAAGCACTTCTCCATGTCAAAAGGGTAGTGAGGCCAATCTGAAATTACTTCTGCCTTAGGTCATTCTGGCTTCTATTACAAAATACCTTAGACTGGGAAATTTATAAGCAACAGAAATCCATTGCTCAGAGTTCTGGAGGTTGAGAAGTCTAAGATCAAGGTACTAGCAGATCTTATGTCTGGTAAGGGCTTGTTCTCTGCTTCAATAATAGCACCTTTTTGTTCCATTCTCCCATGGTAGAAAGGGGTGGAAGGATCCCTCAAGCATCTTTTTAAGGTCTCCAATTTTATTCATGAGGGCAGAGCCCTCATTACCTAATAACCTCCTGAAGGCCTCACTTCTTATTACTACCATAATGGAGATTAGAGTTCAGCATGAATTTTGGAGGGGTTCAGCAGATTTTCAGATAGTAACAACTTCTAATGTCTTAAGATGCTGGGGTTTTTTTCCTCCTCTTCTTCACCCCATTAATTAGGGAAGGTTATGGGAATGGCTTAAAATATAACACCTAGCATTAGG